CGGAGCTGCATTGGCCAGGCGCGGGGAGCGGATTGCGCCCGGTGTCTCCTCCCGCCAGCTCTGCTCACCCTCTTCAAGCAGAACTTGGCTGACGGCGGTGCTCGCTCGTCATGGATGTTCCAGGTAACCAACCCAGCCCTGCGCTCCGCGATCCGCGCGTTAACTGCATTCATGCGTGTATTTCAACGGGGACCATCGCGAGTCTGCGTCCGGGCGTCGGGAGAAGCTACCGAGAAGGACATGATTTTGTCTGGGGCTGAGGACAGAGGCTACTCATGGAGAAACAACTTCTCTCTTCTTAGACTATTGGAGGAGTTGTTCAGAGGCCGTGGGCGGCGCGGGGAGAGGCTTCCGGCTTTTTTGTTTCTGGACTGGGTGTGGAAATGACCTGTCTGGTTTAGGGGGAGCAGAGGGGGCCGGAGAAAGGGGTTAAGTTAGCAGAGAGTCTCGGGGCCGCCTCCCAGCTCGGCAAACGGGAGCCCGGAGTCTGGAAACAAAAGCTGCACCATCAGGCCAGCTCCGGGCTCAGGGCTCAGGGCGCCGGCATCCCCGCCTGTGCCAGAGGGATCCCAGGGACTCTCCAAAGGCGCTCGCTGCTGGCTGAGGGGACGCGGTGGAAGTGGGTGTCTGCTTTTAGAGTCTCTTTTTTTCTTTTTCTCTAATTCATCCCAAGGATTCCTGGAGGTTTGGTCTTTGGATGGACTGCTTTAAAAAAATGTCCAGGATGGGAAAAGACAGGATGAAAGGGAAAGCAGAGAAAGGGGAAAGGGTTCGTAGTGTGTTGAGGAAAATGCCGCTGAAATGAAGGCGATACAGCATGAGTGGGTTTTCCTTTGCCGCGTCCTGAGCTCCCCTCCGCCTTAGGCTAGAGGGGGTGTGGGGTGGCGCTGATGGAGGCCCCGAGGGGGCCCGATCCTGTCTTCGTGCTGAGACCGTGCAGAATCGCGGGCCCCTGACCTGACTGCACCTCTGGCGCGCGCCACCCCGGAGCCTTCAGGGATGCCCTGCCCAGGGCGCCGCGCGTTTCTCGGGACCTGTTGTGCGGAAGGGGGGTGGCTGTGCGCGGGAGCAAGAGGGTGGCCTCCAGCGAGGGGCCCAAGCGCCTCAGGCACCTGCTCCCCGTGCCCCCTCCCGAACTGCTTCACCTCCCAGTCTAAGGGTGTGGGTTCTTTGCCCTGACAGGTCCGCTGGCGCTTTTCTTGTGAGGACGATCCTGGCCTTAACCATCAGAGCAGGGGACCCAGGCCAGAGGAGGCTATCCCTGGCCCCGCACGTTGCTCG